TCCATCTCCATTCTCATCCTCCCTGCATCCACCCACCCTCTCCCCCTCATATCCATCTCCATTCTCATCCTCCCTGCATCCACCCTCCCTCTTCCCCTCACATCCATCTCCATTCTCATCCTCCCTGCATCCACCCTCCCTCTCTCCCTCACATCCATCTCCATTCTCATCCTCCCTGCATCCACCCACCCTCTCCCCCTCACATCCATCTCCATTCTCATCCTCCCTGCATCCACCCACCCTCTCCCCCTCATATCCATCTCCATTCTCATCCTCCCTGCATCCACCCTCCCTCTTCCCCTCACATCCATCTCCATTCTCATCCTCCCTGCATCCACCCTCCCTCTCCCCCTCATATCCATCTCCATTCTCATCCTCCCTGCATCCACCCCCTCCCTCTCCCCCTCACATCCATCTCCATTCTCATCCTCCCTGCATCCACCCTCCCTCTCCCCCTCACATCCATCTCCATTCTCATCCTCCCTGCGTCCACCCTCCCTCTCCCCCTCACATCCATCTCCATTCTCATCCTTCCTGCATCCACCCCCTCCCTCTCCTCCTCACATCCATCTCCATTCTCATCCTCCCTGCGTCCACCCTCCCTCTCCCCCTCACATCCATCTCCATTCTCATCCTCCCTGCATCCACCCTCCCTCTCCCCCTCACATCCATCTCCATTCTCATCCTCCCTGCATCCACCCTCCCTCTCCCCCTCACATCCATCTCCATTCTCATCCTTCCTGCATCCACCCCCTCCCTCTCCTCCTCACATCCATCTCCATTCTCATCCTCCCTGCGTCCACCCTCCCTCTCCCCCTCACATCCATCTCCATTCTCATCCTCCCTGCATCCACCCACCCTCTCCCCCTCATATCCATCTCCATTCTCATCCTCCCTGCATCCACCCACCCTCTCCTCCTCACATCCATCTCCATTCTCATCCTCCCTGCGTCCACCCTCCCTCTCCCCCTCACATCCATCTCCATTCCCATCCTCCCTGCATCCACCCCCTCCCTCTCCTCCTCACATCCATCTCCATTCTCATCCTCCCTGCGTCCACCCTCCTTCTCCCCCTCACATCCATCTCCATTCTCCTCCTCCCTGCATCCACCCTCCCTCTCCCCCTCACATCCATCTCCATTCTCCTCCTCCCTGCATCCACCCACCCTCTCCCCCTCACATCCATCTCCATTCTCATCCTCCCTGCATCCACCCTCCCTCTCCCCCTCACATCCATCTCCATTCTCCTCCTCCCTGCATCCACCCTCCCTCTTCCCCCTCACATCCATCTCCATTCTCATCCTCCCTGCGTCCACCCACCCTCTCCTCCTCACATCCATCTCCATTCTCATCCTCCCTGCGTCCACCCTCCCTCTCCCCCTCCCATCCTTCTCCATTCTCATCCTCCCTGCGTCCACCCACCCTCTCCTCCTCACATCCATCTCCATTCTCATCCTTCCTGCATCCACCCTCCCCCTCCCCCTCACATCCATCTCCATTCTCATCCTCCCTGCATCCACCCTCCCTCTTCCCCCTCACATCCATCTCCATTCTCATCCTCCCTGCGTCCACCCTCCCTCTCCCCCTCACATCCATCTCCATTCTCATCCTCCCTGCGTCCACCCACCCTCTCCCCCTCACATCCATCTCCATTCTCATCCTTCCTGCATCCACCCTCCCTCTCCCCCTCACATCCATCTCCATTCTCATCCTTCCTGCATCCACCCACCCTCTCCTCCTCGCATCCATCTCCATTCTCATCCTTCCTGCATCCACCCCCTTCCTCTCCCCCTCACATCCATCTCCATTCTCATCCTTCCTGCATCCACCCACCCTCTCCTCCTCGCATCCATCTCCATTCTCATCCTTCCTGCATCCACCCCCTCCCTCTCCCCCTCACATCCATCTCCATTCTCATCCTTCCTGCATCCACCCACCCTCTCCTCCTCGCATCCATCTCCATTCTCATCCTTCCTGCATCCACCCTCCCCCTCCTCCTCACATCCATCTCCATTCTCATCCTCCCTGCATCCACCCCCTTCCTCTCCCCCTCACATCCATCTCCATTCTCATCCTTCCTGCATCCACCCACCCTCTCCTCCTCGCATCCATCTCCATTCTCATCCTTCCTGCATCCACCCACCCTCTCCCCCTCACATCCATCTCCATTCTCATCCTCCCACCCTCCCCCCCTCCCTCCCACCCTCTCTGCTACCATCCATCCCCATTCCTCACTTCCATCCATCCACACTCTGCTCCCATCCACCCCCCCTCCCTCCCCACCCTCGCTGCTCCCCATCCATCCCTCTCCCCCAGTGCTCTCACACCGGATCAACATCAACCCACCAAACAGGAGCAGATATTACTCTTTGGGTCTTTCGGTAAAGTCACGTAGAAAGGTTCGAAGAGAATAACAAAAACTACGACGTTTCGATCGCAACACAAGCGGTCGTTCCTGATGCCGACCGATTGTGTTGCGATTGAAACGTCGTCGTTTTTTGTTATTTTCTTCGAACCTATCTACGTGACTTTACCGAAAGACCCAAAGAAAATGAATTCCTGCAGTCACGAAAGCTTTAAGTCAGGAGCAGACATTGTCTAAGAAATGACGCTGCCTTGCAATGGGCCCGGTGATGCAACGCTTCCAGTCCCGGGCTGTGGAGGAGAGCCGTTGGCGAACGACGTGGAACAGATGAGGCGTGAATGGCTTCCTTACCTAGGGCCAAATAGCTCTTTCAAGTTCGTAAGAAAGTTGTTTTTGTGTGTTAGATCGCATAAGTGTGTGTCGTTAACCCGTCACCGCACGGCACAGCCAATTAGTAAGGTTTGTCACGTAAACAGAACGTGTAAAATTCGTTACTACTTCAGACCACCGGCGTGTTGGGGAGTAAATCCACAACATTTACAATTTTAGTACGACGTTTCGCCGGTAATTACCTCCAGCGTCATCGGGCGATTTTACCTTTGTTGGGAAACCACACGCATGGACAACCCAACACACATCAGTCACGTGTCACTGCAAGACCCCCTCCCCTCTACAGTGATAGAAGTCAGTGATTGCACCCCCCCCCCTCCTCTAGGCCCCGATGAGTATGGCCATGATGCTTGCAGTGCCGGATATACATCGCTTGCGGGCCATTCTTACGTGGTTGGTCTCATGCGGTACCTTGGAGCGAGGAGGAGTTCCGTTAATCTTCTTGGTTCTTTCGGTGAAGTCACGTAGAAGGGAAATAATACAATTATAAAAATAAAGCATAATAAAATACAATTCTCACGACGTTTCGGCCACAACGCAAGCAGCCGTCCTCGTTGTAGCCGAAAACGTCGTGAGAATTGTATTTTGATTGTTTGATTTTTATTATTTTATTATTTCCCTTCTACGTGACTTTACCGAAAGAACCAAGAAGATGAATCCCTGCAGTCACGAAAGCTTTACATCGAAAGAGTTCCGTTCAGCCCAAGAGGCGGAGGTTTTCCAGATTTCTGGCGCATGTACGTTGAACTTCTTTCGCGCCGTACGTAGCCAAACGTGCTAATCGGGAGGTGCGGCGTAGACATTTGTAAGGCTCTCCCGAGCTCGCTGTGACGCGACAAGAGTTTGGAAGGCAGGTGGAAGTACTGTACAACAAAGTGGGTTCGTGAAACCACCTCGTGTGGATGTTTTGTTGCGTAATTCCAAAGGTACGCATGGTGAGTTTCGTCACCCATACAAAAAAAACATCATTTGGAGATTTGGCAAAGTGTCAACTCAATACGTGCCCCGCCCCCCCCAACTGCTCAAGATTAAAATACGACGTAAAGCTTTCGTGACTGCAGGAATTCATATTGTTTGGGTCTTTCGGTAAAGTCACGTAGATAGGTTCAAATAAAATAACAACATTTTTACCAAAAAACTACGACGTTTCGATCGCAACAGCGTCTTAAATTAAGACGCTGTCTTTCCGACAGATCTGAGGACGGCTGCTTGCGTTGTGGCCGAAACGTCGTGAGAATTTTATTATATTGTTTAATTTGTATTATTTTATTATTTTCCTTCTACGTGACTTTACCGAAAGAACCAAGAATAGGCTAAACCCCCTTTTGCTGATGACGACCGCTTGTGTTGCGATCGAAACGTCGTAGTTTTTAGTTATTTTCTTTGAACCTATCTACGTGATTTTACCGAAAGACCCAAGAAGATAAAAAATGCGTTTTTAGACTCACCGAGGCTTTTAGGGGAGTCGTACATGAAGTGATACGCTAATGTCCGGCAATGGCTCTTCTTCGGTAGATTTACTCTCGCTTGGTTATCGCACTTTGTGGAATATTGAAAAGTTTGGAACAAGTTGACAGAACGGTGTAAGATTGATGTAAGAGGTCAGTCATTCCACTTTCTCCCTCTGCTCCGAAGAATCACCACTTGGGGAAACCATCATTGTCAGCCAAGCTCCATCCACTGAAGCATGAAAGCCTCCCCAAGTCAAAAACGTTCGAACCATTGTGCACACATCTATATTGAAGGGTAGTGTCGATGAATAATGCAGAAAGTTTAGCTTCTCGTTTGTGCACGGCTGCCTTGGCAGTACGTGGATGGTCTTCTTGTGTGGCGACTTTCAAGCAACGATGTGTGGTGATGACGATCACTGATGACAATCATTGATGATGACGATCATTTATGATGACGACGATCATTGATGATCATTGATGATGATCATTGATGATGACGATCATTGATGATGACGACGATCGTTATGATCATTGATGATGATCATTGATGATGCCGACGATCGTTGATGGCGATCGTTGATGATGGTGATTATTGATGATGATCATTGATGATGACGATCATTGATGATGATCATTACTGATGACGATCATTGATGATGATCGTTGATGATGATGATGATCATTGATGACGACGACGCTCATTTAACAGGCGCAATGGAAGGGTAGGTAAGTGGCACGGGAAACGACTCGGTCCGTTTTAAACGAATTCACGCCACACGTTGCAAAACTGCCACTTCATTTATAACAAAAGTTTAATACTGAACACAAGCTACAACATAACATGTAAACTAATGAAAATTATAATGGGTTAGCAAACTCCACTGTCGAGAAAAATACCCCCTCCCCCACATGAATTTAGCCTCATAGACCGTCAGGGATAAGTGCTGTTAGCGAGCGCCTATTCAAGGCTGGCATGTTGTCACTTGAGGGGGTGGTGAGTGCCAGCACCACACAAACTCGCGCTCTGCTATCTTCATATCTTTGGTGCCAGTGCCGATATTCAGCAACCCGTTACGCTCGGCCGTAATTTTAGGCTGAGCCGACCTACAGGATGCCCCAAAAAATGGGTTCAAATGCCAATATTGTCTGCAGTTGTGCATCGTGGCCTGGAACTCAACACGGGTAAGCGTGCTGTTTTCGAACCGATAAGACAAACCAGAATCACGAATCTGCCCGCACACAAAGATCCTCTACGCAGCGTCCACATGCTGTTTGAGGGCAAAACGCAGCGAGCGAGCACCCATAATTGCCGGGCCACTGCACACGAGGGGGTGGGTGACCAGCACCAGCCTTGGCTGCCTTTGTCTCCCCAGTGCTGATATTTGCACATTTTGGTCAAGCCGACCTAGGGGAGGGCACAGGTCCATCATTTCAGATGCCCGGCCCTTGTGTTGGCCTTAAGCGGGAATCGAACACCCCTACACCACCTAAGGCACAATCGTCCACGCATTGCAAAACAAAGGTCAACCGTATAGCCTCGAACAGACTGTTGGGGCAAGTGGTGTTAGCGAGCACGAGGTTGTGGTGGTGGTGGTGCAGCCAGCACGTCGCCTGGCACGCGTCTGTCTCGTCCTCGACCAGTGTTCTTTGTTGATTTGAAGCTTTCGTGGCTGCAGGAATCCATACTCGGGGTTCTTTGTAGCAAGGCCCGCGGGTCCTAGCAGGCCCCTGGCGGCCCCTCGTGGCCTTGAGTGAAGGCCACAGACGTGCGGTGCCCCCCGACAATACACACCATGTGAAAACACCGCCCCCCCCTCCACCCCCATCATCATCGTGCTGTCAAACCCAAATAGTTTCATATAGTGTTCGGCGGCCCTTACACTGATGGTGTCTTATCGGCGAAAGTGCCCCCCCCTCCCAACCCCCTCTGAAAATTTGTCAAGAAAACTGCCCGGGGAGGGAGGGGGGGGGGGAGCCCAGGGTAGTTTGCGATGAAAGTGATGATGCAGGCCAGTGGCGATCATAACTCTCGACCGCACTCTCCTCCACGCAGGACTGCACCCGAGCGTGAAACGTAACAAATCGTCGTTAACTCGTAAACACAACCGATGGATCGAGTACACACTTTAGGACGACGACGACGACCCGATTTCCGAGAACAAAAAGTTTCAAAAAAGCTTAGGTCGGCATCGTCTCGGCAAACCCTGTCGCGCAATAAATAAGCTGCCACTTGTGGCCGAGCCCTTCCAGTCGAGCGCTGGGTGTCAACTATTTGTGTTTGCGTGCACGGCACCTGCCAGCGAGCCTCCAAGTGCACCTAGCCTGGCACAAGCGCCGTGGTGACGTTACCGCTGCTCGGTGGCGAATGGCGGTTGTTGTTGTTGTGTACGCGCACGTGCGTGTGTGTGCGTGGTTGTGTGTGGAAGTTGGCCTTTTAACGCCGCTGAAACGTGTAAAATTGCGTCGATCTTTAGGCGAACAGGAAACACCACGGGACCTTTTTGCCCGGATCAAAGTATGTGACAAAACATGCTCTCTTTGGTCCTTTCGGTCGAGTCACGTAGAACGAAAATAAATTACCGACAGAACCAAAGAGTAATTCCTGTAGTCACGAAAGCTTCAAATCAAGTTTAAGTAATGCTTTGGTAATATATGATGCCTTGTCCTTCAAACTGATTGGCCTACACCAGAGACAGCAAGCAGCCTTCTGTGTGGCCACGTCTCACTGCCAGTGCCGCACCTGAGAACAACGCCACAAGGTGAGCAGGACACACTTAATGTCGACATGGGCTTGCACTGCCGTCACGTGGCGAACAAACACCCAATGGGCACGCGGGCAGCACAGGGGCGCTGCCTTCAAATTATTTAAATAATCATCCAGCACGTGCTGGCGTTGGTGGCCAACATATTCAACTAACTGCCCGTGCGTTCTCTTATGATATTCCTAAATAAATACTGCAAATGCTACGGATCGCAGCTGATGGCGATGGCTATAATTGTAAATAATTGCTGGCTCGCTATTGTCACTAATTCAATTGCGCAGCATTTATGAAAACACGTGACAGATGACTACTGTAATTAGCACAACGCAGCAAAATCTTAATGGACTTGTGCTCATTTCCACTCACGGAACAGCGTTCTGTGTTCTATTAATATATCAATTTGTGTATATGTCATTATTCTTGTAGACCTTTGCAAGTTTTCTGTACAATTCCATAGAATGTCCAAAGGGCATGTCATATCTTGATTTTAAGCTTTCGTGACTGCAGGAATCCATGCTCTTTGGTTCTTTCGGCAAAGTCACGTAGGTAGAAAAATAAAATGATTTTTATTTAAAATAATATTTGTATTTATTTTATTTTTCTACCTACGTGACTTTACCGAAAGAACCAAAGGGCATGTCCAATGTCAACACTCTCGAGTAGAGTGCATTTTTTTTCAAATTGGCGCCAAATGTTGTGGTGCAACCGAGTCCAGCCGCATGCTACTGGTCACGTGATCTCGCCGGCGAGATGTTAACTCCCTCGCCTGCGAGATGTTAACTCCCTCGCCTGGTGTGCAGGAGGTCGTGGGTTCGATCCCCGACCCTGACGCCTGCTCTTAATTTGAAGTTGGCATGTTCTCCCCGTGGTCGTGTGGACTTTTCTCCGGATCCTCCGCTTTTTCTCCCTTCACATTTGGAATCAACGTGAGTTTATAGAGCAATTTGGCTGCTATGAATGTGCACGTGATAAGCTATGAACTGTGACCAGGTCACTTTTGAAAAGGAGCTATAATAGCTCAGTGGGCCTTACCTTGTAAAATAAAAATAGTTTAAGTTTTTTTTAGGTCACGGGGTCAAGGCTCTGTTGTGCTAAACTTCTTTGTGCGTGGACAGAACGTCCTCGTGTGTCTGTGTATATGTGTGCATGTGTCAGTGTGCGCGACATCCAAGTGTGTGTGCGCATGCATATGAGCGCATGTCTGCTGCATGCACACACGTACGTGCACATATTTTCATCCCAGTTGGTTAACCGCAACACGCAATGGGTCCGACGCGAGCCCTACTGCCAGCGAGCCTTCGACGCCTCCGGGTGGTCACCCAAGTGCTGCGGTGACGCCACCAACACTTAAGCGGCGAACGGCGGCCTTTGCTGTATATTTCTGCGTGTGTATCGATAGTCCTGCGTGCGTGTGTGTGCGTTCGTGCGTGCGTGCGAGGGAGCTTATAGCAGAGTCCTTCACTCAAGAGTCTCAAAACGACGAAACCTCCTTGTCCTGCTCGCGTCGTTCGAGCACCGCCGTCCACGCACTCAGCGAGCCAGTGAAGAGGTCACGGGGTCAGACGGGGGCGTTGGCCCTCCTCTCTTCCAGGCTGCGACACACCCACATGGACACCACCTCCGTGTTGCCATCGTCGAACTGCTTGATGAACTGGTGAACCTTCGCGGGAGTTTGTGGGAGAGAGAAGCAGGCGGAGCGACGGTCAAAGTTGAGATGCGTCCGCTCTGTAAAGGAACCTCACAGCTCGTCTGTGCGCGAGTCGGTCCGTCGGGGTTCGCGTCGGGTACACGCAGTAGCGGAGCCAGTGTGGGGGCAAGGGGTGACCTTGGTGCCCCCCCTGCCCACACACTGGTGACCCTTGGTCCCCCCTGGTGGCCAAAGCTACGAGTTGGGGCCCCGTTGAAGGGACTTTTATTATTGATGTTGACCTATGTACCGCCCTATGACCCCTGCCCCGACATCTATGCTTCCCCACCTTTATGAACCTGCGCCAACCGGCGTGGTGAAGTATGGTCAAAAGGCCCCGACAACCCACCCAACGCAGTGAGGCCCGCGTGCACGCACTGCTTCCATCGCGAGCTTTGAATGTCAGCGGGCAGCGCGGAGCGTCCGGCGGAACAGAGGGAACAGCGCCTCGCATCACGTTACTTTAACAACGCCACGAGCAATGTGGGTGAACTGACTTAACGGGGAGGAGGAGGAGGGGGAGCGGTGGGGGGGGAGGCAAGGGGGGGGGGGTGTCAGGGGTACGGGGTTGGGGAGCGCACGCGTACAGGAGTGCGGGGCTAATGCAATAGTTTCAATTCGGGAGGTTGCTTTGTCAATACGCGGCTTTCGGCCCTAAGCGGTAAAAGCGGCGCGGCTTAAAGAGGCCGCATCGACAGCGATCTTGGTCGTCCGTCACGCGGCCAGCTCTCAGGTGTTAACCGCCATCGACAGCTGCCTCCCCCGCACAGCACGACCCGTCATCAATATCATTTTCTCCCGACGACGGCTACGAAGCGCCGACAGCGCCGCTCCGATCATCTCCGGCTTAGGCGGGAACCTGCGGCGAAGCTCCGTCGCCGTTTGGGAGATGATGTGGGAGGAGGTGGGGGGGTGAGAGAAGGGAACAGGGGAGGGGGACCCTGATGCGCGGGGTCAAGGAGGGAGGGAATCAATGGCAGTTGTTGGTAGTCACTGTTCACTTGCGTTACAGCGATGCAAGATACGAGGCTGCCCATGACACGAGGCGACGCCGCGTGCGCACGTACATACTGGAGGAGCACTCGCGTCGATTCACCCGGCCCCTCGTCGAGCGGTGCACGGGGAGGGCACAAGGGTGGATCTACGTGCCCTGTGGGCGAGCGGTCGAGCAGGCGATCGGGTGAGCGAGCGAGTAAAACGGGTGGAGCGAGCAGGTGCGTGAGCGGCGGGGGGGGGGGGTGGAGCGAACGAGCGAGTGAGCAAGCAACTGGGCGGCGAGGGCGCAAGTGATCGAGTGAGCGAGATTGATGCGAAAGGGTTAAACGAGCAGGTGAACGAGTGAGTCGGCAAGTTGGTGAGAGCGAGCGAGCGAGCGAGCGAGCGAGCGAGTGAGCGATCGGACGGGGCAAGCCGGAGAGCCGTCAGCCAACGCCAATCGCCCACAATGTCCTCCGCAGCTCTCGTCACTCGGATCGCAGCGCTCGCTCGCCGGCGTGGGATGCGCCGCCGACTAACGGGGCCGGAGTGGGGGGGGGGGGGGGGGGAAGCGGGGCCGCGAGGAGCGCACAGTGCCGACGGAAAAAATTAACAAATGCCGTGCGCAGCGTGAATTATGAATGGGAATGAGCGTGCACGCCGGGACATTCCATCCGAGCCGGGTCGATCGACAAGAAACGGGCCGAAAACAGACGACTGCAACGCGAGGGGTTGACTTTTTACAAAATCTGAGATGAAAACTCCGCTCCACGCGCCCGGCGCATGCCGTCGGTGCCGTCCTCTCATCGACGTCGCCGGCGACATCGCCATCATCGCGATCTCAGCCGACTCCCGCCCCTACCTACCGCATCTGTGTCGCCCAGTGGCGTAGCTAGAGAGTGTGCAGGCGGTGCAATTGCACCAGGGCCCAGGGGTCGGTGGGGTCCAGCCACCAGCCAATGAAGAGCAGCCCCCCCATTTTATTCCATGCTACCACGGCACCGTGCCAACCACACTACACCACTGCTGTCACCGTCTAAATATTTTATCAAGTGAGCTGATGGAACCTCATAAAATACGTCTCAAGGTGTCAACGGCGAGTGATTAACGGTGGCAGAGCGTTCCGTAACTTTGCAGGCGAGCGTCGGAGCCGCAAAAATGCTTTCCACAAATTCTGCCGACGTCAGGCCACAGACCGATCCCCTCGTCGCCCGGTGCAATCATTCCGCCAGGGTGGCCCCGCTGGCATTTCTCCACGCCATACGCCAAATGCCACGGGCAAAAGAATTTCACATCCTCGCCCCCAGTTTCGTTCTTCTTGTGAACACCAAACCGGGTCCCGGGCGCTTAACGGGCGTTTCATCGCCGAGTGAGCTGCGGGAACATGGCGTATAGTGACACACACACACACACCAGCACGGACACCGACCACAACCATAACAAAACAGAGATCCCTCTCCCTGTAGCCATTTTGGCGAGCGTTGTTCGTGAGCACCTACGAAGGCCGGTACGGCACCGTGTCCTGCCGCAAGACTCTGCAGCGCATAGTGAGAGCAGCTGAGAGGATCATTGGTGTCTCTCTCCCCCCTCTTCTGGACATTTATAACACCCGCATCACCAGCAAAGCAATCAAGATTGCAGGTGATCCCACCCACCCATCTCACAGCCTCTTCAGTCTGCTGCCGTCAGGGAGGAGACTGCGGAGTCTTCCAGCCAGGACCAGCAGGCTCAAAGACAGTTTCTTTCACCAGGCTGTCAGGAGACTCAACTCCCTCCCAGCTCTACCATCACTCCCCCCTCTCTGCCCACCCACCCCCCTTTGCCCCCTGACCCCATCCCCCACACACACATTCACTCATACATCCTGATCTCTGGACTGCACATTGCACTACATCGCACTACCACACTGGTTTAAATATCTTATTTCTTTAAATACTTTATTTAAATAATATTTTACATTTTAAAAATTCTTGACTGTTGTTTCTTTTACGTTTATTACATTTTTGATTATTTATCTTGTGTTGATCGCCGATTGTTTATTGTTTATTTATGTCTGTTAATTGTGATAAATTTTTTAATTGCTTGGTTGCACCGTGGGACCAAGAGAGAGGACTGTAATTTCATCTGTGTTGTATGTCATGCATGTAACACACTTGACAATAAAGTGACTTTAAGACTTTAAGACGAGAGGGTTTGGGTGTAGCCAGTAGCCAACCACGCCCGGCCACTTTGGTCTCTCCGGTGGCGATGTTTACACATTGCACCAGCTACTCCTTCATGGCCGAGTCAATCTAGGACAGGTCCAGGATCATCAGTTGAGATATTCACCACCGATGTTGGCCATGGCCGGGATCTTAACTCGGGACTTCGAGTTAATAGCTCAGTGAGCCAACCACGACACACTGCTGCTCCGCAGACTCGATCTGTTGGCCACAGTAACAAAGACAAAGATCCCCTGTGCAGCCTACACAGCCTGTTAGGGCAAGGGCCGTGAGTGAGCACCTATGGAGGCACACAGTGCCAGAGACAGACAGGACACACAGTGACACTTACAGGCACACAGCACACGAAGTTGAAGAAAAGCTCCCCCGTGTAGCCTGCAACAGACTGTTGGGCAAGTGCTGTTAGCGAGCACATTTGAAGGTCGGCACGGCACACGAGGGGGTGTGTGTGGCCAGCACCACGCCCGGCCGTCTTTGTCTCCCCAGTGGCGATGTTTACACATCGCACCAGGTACTCATTTGAGGCTGAGTCGACCTAGGGGAGGCCCAGGACCGGTTCAGATAATCGTCACCGGTGTTGGCCGTGAGCGGCAATCGAACCTGGGTCGCCAAGTTCGTAGCGCAGCGTAGCGCTAACTGCTACACACACAGTGATACACAGTGACTCAGAGACACAGTGACACACACAGGCACGCAGCGCACACACACACACCGTGACACACAGAGTGACACACACACACCGTGACACACAGTGACACACACATACACCGTGACACACAGAGTGACACACACACCGTGACACACAGTGGCACACAGAGTGACACACACACCGTGACAAACAGAGTGACACACACACCGTGACAAACAGAGTGACACACACACCGTGACACACAGTGACACAGAGTGACACACACACCGTGACACACAGAGTGACACACACTGTGACACAGTGACACAGAGTGACACACACACCATGACACACAGAGTGACACACACACACACCGTGACACAGAGTGACACACACACACCGTGACACAGAGTGACACACACACCGTGACACAGTGACACACACACAGTGACACACAGAGTGACACACACACACCGTGACACAGAGTGACACACACACCGTGACACACAGAGTGACACACACACCGTGACACACAGAGTGACACACACACAGCGTGACACACAAGTCACGTAATGTTGGCGCCACTCTGGAGCAGACTTTGAAAACGAGCACGACAGAATTTTTTTTTTCGGGGGGGGAGAGGAAGGAGGGGTTTCGCGAGGCCGGGCAGGATTAGTGCTGCCTGGACGCGATGGGCAGTGCACTCAGACATAATGGAATCCCCTCCGTCGTGAGTGAGAGCGAGAGAGAGAGTGAGAGACAGGGGGGAAAAAAAGCAGCAAAAAGCAAGGGCCTTTTAAAATGGCAGCAATAAGCTTAGAGGCCTAATGAGGGCTTAAAGCTTGCAGGGGATAAACGGGACATGCATTTTCTGCACTCTGATCTGTCCCCAGACGTGCCGTCGTTTTGCGGGCAAGTGCGCAGTTTTCCGAAAACATCGCTAAAGCACGCGCCCGCCGCTCCTCTCCTCTCTCTCATCTTTCTCTCTCTTCTCCCCTCTCTCTTCTCTCGTCTCCGCTCCAAATCTCCGCTCGGATCAAATCCTCCGGCCCGCCGCTAGGCTCATCCCGTTAAACGGCACGCGGCTGGCCCAGAGAGCAAATTAAACACGCCTTTAATTAATCTCCAATTAATCCTTAATTGGGCGA